GGGGGGGGGTTAATGTTAAAGTGTTTCAGGGCAAATTTTAATTCAACCTTAGTACATCTAGTTTTTATGGTAAAAGTAAGTGTTGAATCTGATCTTTAAGCGCAATTCTGAGGGATAAATCGAGATAAAAGAGGTTCTTATGCCGTTCAGTCCAAAATATACGTTGTAATTCTCGAAAACAGATCTTATGGATCTGGGTTGGGTTGTTCAAAGGTGGGTTAGGATAATCTAGGGCTAGTGTGAAATTTGATTTCAGATCTGCAAGTTTCAAAAGAGAATTCAGTATAATTATTTTTGTCTAGAATCTTGTGATTGGATGCTTTGAAAAGAATAAGGAATATTTTTCCAAAAAGATATTTGAATAGAGAATTAAGGAAACGTGGATTAAAATTTAAACTTGGGTTAGTGCTAATCGCCCTTTGAACAACTGGAACCAGCTGAATGCTGTGCGAACTATTATAGATATGCATCATGGTCTGAAGTGTATATATTTTTTTCACCTGAGCAGTTCTGTCCATCTCCGCGGAATCCAGGTTTACAAATGCATTCGAATGATCCCTTGTTATTCTGGCAAGTTGAGTTTCCATGAGAACAGTTGTGGGTATTTTTCTCACATTCGTCGATGTCTGATATAAAACCAAGAATGATACAAATGATCATGATAAAGCGTAACGATGGGGAAGTGCGGAGGATGTGACTTTAACCTAAGAGTAAGGTAAAAAAACAGCTGCTCTAAAACATTCGTCGGGTCCTTCAAATCAAAAGCTTTAAACAAATTCAAAACTAGGAGTTCCCCCCGCGTGGCGCCATTTGACAAGACAGGAAAATTATTTAGTTTTGTATGGGTCTACAGGTACTCACACAATAGATTTTTGGCCAATCAGAGCGCTCGTTGTGTCCAAGTTATGTCATAAAACAGCATCATCTCCCAAATAATATTAGGTTACCATTTAAGGTGCCTTTGTTTCGGCCACTTCTATGTCTTTTTTTCGCACTGATACGACAAAGCATTATGTTCTAACAACTATTTAGTACCTGTGCAGCTGTTTCCGTCACCACTGAATCCTGGTTTACAAATGCACTTGAATGATCCCTTCGTATTGTTACAAGTGGCAGTTATATTGCTGCAGTTGTGGCTGCTTTGAGAGCACTCATCAATGTCTGAATTTAAATCAGTGGTCCACATCAATAAGGCTGATAAATAACAAAAATGAAGAGGGGCTAAAAACTACACTATGAATCTGAAAACAACAAGTTGCTCTAAAGGAAAAAAACTCTAACGTCGCTGTACTGCTAATAGAGGCTGGCTGAAGCTCTTTCTGACCACTTAGACAAAACCATAAAATGTAATTTTCTTAAACCATACCATGTCAGGAGCTCAGTACTTGAGTTTGCAATCGGAAAGCAATATACTGGTCCGTGGCATTCTTAAGGGGAAAGGAATACCAATGGATTGCATCTGTTTCATAGGATCGTATTCTGCAGGATTTTACCTTCGCATTCATGTCCATCTCCGCTGAATTCAGGATTACAAGAGCAGTTGTAAGATCCCTCGATGTTTGTGCAGTTGGCGTTCTCGCTACAATTGGGGTTTTGAACACACTCGTGGATGTCTGAAATGAACTCGAAATCAGCAGACTGTTAAAAGAAATTACGAAGAAGGGAAAGTGTAATGGTAATACTTTTAATTGATATATCAAAATGCTAAAAATGGTATTCACAACAATTCTATCAATAATTATACATGGGGAATAGTGCTAGTATCTTTCTTTTGAAACATCGAAATCTGAATAAATTCAAAATCTAATAATGTGGTAAATCTAAAAATATCTTATACTGTACAGACAAGCAAAAGGTGAGAGGCTAATCTAAAACCCTACATACAAGGCTGCTAAGAAGCATTAAAAAACATCAATGGCTCCTTTAGGAGCTACGATTTCAACATCACAATTCAAACACAGCGCGGCGCTTCACCCACGATCCTCGAGGGGAAAGCAGGGCCGTCCGAAGGAGGGCAAAGGATGTCCCTGCTCGGATCCCGGAAATTGTCTGCGAGCACTCTTCTCCTTTCTTGGTGGCTATCAGCTTAGGCAGTCGACTGTGATATCTTATGCATTCCTTCCCCATCCCCCCAGTAATTGTAAATACAAGTAACACAGAGGCGTGAACGAGCCATGCTCAACAGTCAACACTCTCCTTGAGTAAAACCGTTTCTTTTCGTCTTCATGGATGCGATGAATCGTGGTTCCTGGTCCTTTTAAGACTCGGCATTAGGTTGGTAAACCCTCATATCAAAGAATGCCGAGCTCTGGAGATCCCAGGAGCCACGCCCTCGAACGTCCAATCTTGCGTCTTGTGCTCTATTGGACCCTCTACTGAGCTGTTCTTCAGTGATGTCTTGGAGAACTGGCTCGACTTCGACAACGCTACAGACTATACTCAAAAGGTTGGCTTCAAGGTATCTTGACTCATTATGACATTGGATTAAAAGCCCCCTCGTTTAAAAATCATTTCGTGGTCTACCGTGAAGTTTTCTCCACACGCAGATACTGATGAAATGTCATCGAATGGCCAATCATAGCATCACGAACCTCTCTCTTACTGAGGTTCAAACCATGTTCTTGAAGGGGAAGAACTGTGAGCCATACAGAGGAGCCTTTTCCTTGCGCTAGTTCTACAGCTCGCTTGGTCTTCCCTGAGGCCATTTGTTTTAGGTTATCTGAAATCTCTGAAAGTTCTTCAGCTTTTCTACGTTTGACAGCCTGACGCCCAAACTCGAGGAGGGACGCGTTGGGTAGTTAATGAGTTTGAGCCATGATATATTCCACGAGAGGAGATGTTACCTAAATAGATGATACATGTTCGCGTGCCACTTCGTGACATGGGTTGCTCAAGCCCAGGCCGCCTAGTCGCACTGGTAGTGCTAGAACATTTCTATCCAGTTTGCTACACTTGCGCTCAACGATTGCTGGTATAAGGACCTCGGATATAGTCTCTTCAAGTGCCTCTAGAAGATTTTGGATATCAGGGAGAGTTCGTAGGAAGAACGCCCAATGATGTTTTAAACCAAACGTGTTGACGGCATAGCTGGCTTCCGGCTGAGCTTGTGCAAATTCAGCAAGGTAAGCAATTTCATTAACCCAGACTTCTCGTTGACTTAGTATTGCAAATAATCTTTTGAGCCTATCACCGCTTCAAGATGCTTCTGCCCCTCTACTGTCACGTTAATGCCTGTATCTTTTTAAAGCTTCTCTAGCAAGTGCCTCCTTTTCCGGCTTTGCAATAATCCAGCACTTTTTAGCGTTTGGAAAGTAGTCAATATCTTCACCGAATGTATTGAGACCATCCCCCCATTGCTTGATTTCTGAGATAGTGGCAGCTCCATTAGCATCATCTGGAAACCAGTATTCCTTTACATCCAACATGGCCTATAAACTAGTTATCAAGGGCTGGATGCTGAGAGCATATAGTGCCATAGCAAGTGGGTCGCCTTGATATGTTCCCTCGGCTGATGTTATCTCTTTGCCACCCGTGATAACTAACCGGGCAGAATGGCGATATATGTTTATGGCGTGAACTTCAATGACAGGAAAGAGAACGCGGATATTGCGTAAAGCCGCTGCCCTGTTAAAGGCATTAAATGTATTAGACGCGTCAGTGTTATCTGCTTCGAAGACTCTATGCATAGCGCGTATTGCAGCCTCGGTCCCTGATTTCTGTTCTAGACATAATTGTAACAAGCCACTTGCCTCAAATACATCCGGCTTGGCTATGTTCATGACGCACTTCCCGCATATTCTCCTGATCACTTCTCCAACTCCTATTGGCCTCACAGCATTCTCTCCCTTATCTAGAGGGATGAGGCGACTCAATACTAATGGCACTATGGTTGAAGGATCAATGTATTGAGTGCATAGAGTCTTTGCCATTGTAGCTATCGCCTCACACAGCTTTGTCGATGACTGTTTGAACGATTTACAAGCCAGCACTCGTCTGAAGCTGTTTGCATCAACACCACAGGGACTCCTATTTAATCACTTTCACCAGAGTGTGGTGAGGGTCGCACAAAAGAGCGAGGCTCCAAATTAAGTGCGCCCTATATCCCACCCATCCCACCCCAGGGGAGGACATCCATCACACAGTAATCTCGTGTGTGGGAAATTAACGTCTCCTACCCCAACCCTGCAGGAGACGGGACCTCCATTTATTCGTCCCTATCCGAGAAGACTAGAATATCTAACCATTTCTTGATGTTATAAAAAGGTAGCAAATTCTTCTCAATTATTTTAAGACCCTGAGTGTTGGTCCGGCCGGGGCTCGAACCCTCGACCTCCCGCACAACAGTCCAGCGCTCTATCCATTGAGCTAACCGGGAGGCGGTTAGAACCTTTTCCTAGAAACTTTTGCTCTAAAAGCAGCTTGTCTGACCATCTCACCGTTGATCCCAGAGTAAACTGATTCAGGAAACTCGTCACCAATCGGCCCAAACAAGGGTGAGCCCGACTTAGCTGAGGATTGGGGTGTTTTAGCTGTAGTTGCGCCATAACCTCATCGGTCAGCGGTAGTACGCCACCACTGGTACTTTCGCTCAGGAAGCCAAAAGCTGAATTTATCTGACCCTTAAGCACGAGTTTGGTGAACACCTTCGATTTATTGCGTGAATCTGTAGATCTGAGTTTCCTATTCGACTTTTAAGAATCCGACCTTCGCGCAGCAACTAGAAATGGTAGTACTATTTATGATAATAATAATAACGGTAATAAGAGAGATGTTGAAAAAGCCTCTGTTAAAACTCAAATACCACCTCACAATAATCCTAAATTTGCACTGATTTTAAACTTGTATAGCTAAAGCAAAATAAGGGTTCACTGGTAAAATAATAACTTATAATCATAGTTTAAATCGATGATGATGATGATGATAATGATGTTGATAAAATTATAATAGTAATAATAATAATAATAGTAATACAAATAATAATAGCCAATAATAATAATAATAATAATCAAGAAACAATGAAAAATGATAAAAACAAAATCAAAAACAAAAACATAAAAAAATAGCGCTTGCCTTATTTTCTTAGATACCACAATATTACATCTCCGTCAAGGTTATCGCTTTTTATGCATGTTTGTAAGTTTACGTGTGAGAAATCTCGTGCTCTGAATAATATGACAGTGAAACATAATTAAAAAACAAAAAACAAAAAATGAAAATCGGAGCTCGCCTTCTTTTTCTTTATTAGACACCGGAATATCACATCTCCGTCAAGGTTTTAATGCAGAGGGGTTGGTAAGTTTACGTCCGAAAAATCTCGCTCTCTGAACAATATAACATAACTGTGTAGTTGTATCCATCACCTCTGAAACCAGGATTACCAGAACAGTTGCCGTTGGTACAAGTGGTGTTGTTCCTGCTACAATTGTGGATATTTTCGGAGCACTCGTCAATGTCTTAAACACGAAGGCGCGCTATAAATAGGTTGGCACCGCCCCTTGATTTCAGCTCAAATGAAAGAATAATCCAACATGGCGACCAACGGTTCGACCTTAGGTGAAACGGTGTGCATGGGAGACGCAGTAAAAGTATTATTTTTGGTAAAAAAAAATTAGAAGATGTTGAGTCTTGTTGACTCTCATTTCCATAATCTAGCTTATCTTGATTTTATTTGGCTCTAACACATCGTTCGGCCGTTCAAAGTGCGATGTGCGTTCGGTATTTTCAAAATTCGCGCCTTGTGACTTCAGCTTAAATCCCCAGGCCCCTTATACACATCGGTTGGCTGAGTCTTCAGATTATTCCCATTGAAACTAGCGGCGCGTCATAAATAATGCATGCACTATGCACAATATTGTCTGTGACAATACCTCTAAAGAATGAATGATTTCGCAAGTAAGTGCGACTAGCAGCCAGAATTTCACAACTCTAGTGGTTGTTCGGCAACATTCTTAGCTGTCGCTGCTCGAAAGATATTTATTGCGGAATTTGTGCGGTATGGCTGACGGAAATAACCCATCTATGCCCAAGAAAAACCGTTTAACAGATCGAGGTCTTCAGTTCTCTTTCAACATAGAGCTTCCTCATACTCAAGAGAGCAGACTTCTTGTCATCAAAGACCGCGTCAAAATGGCAAAAGGCGCGTTAAATCTAACAAAAGCGACCTCATGTACACAGAATGCGGATCTGATGGAGGCTCTTCTGTTAGCTTTTGAGGAAAATATGGAGAGGAAAGGACTGACATCGAGCCAACTGAGCTTATCATCAACTGGAAGCACAGCTAGTCCGGACCCCTCTCTTGTTTCTACACCATCTACCACACGGTTTTCATTTCCTTCAGCGTCTTCGACTCCATCTTCGCGTATTCTTTGCCTTTCTCGGATCCTGTTTCTCCAATTTCCCCTCCACATGCAGAACATGCACCACAAAGAATGCAGATCACTGCGCCCTCAGTAGAGAACGACCCCATATATCTCTGCAGCGAGGGAGCTCTGCAAACTCTGTATTCTTTTTTTTGTAACACTCTTTCCACATTGTGAAAAACTCATCGATTGCGATTCAATAATCTTCAATCGGCAAAGTCATTTTGTGTCCGTAACAGTTTCATGTGTCTGTGGAGATTCATTCAAGTGACTCTCCTCTGCTATCATGGGAGGATCTCGTCCAAAGTACTCTGTAATTTGAGGTAAGTACCTTTTATCTTGAGTTCTGTTGTAACTGGTCACTTATCCGCCTCTCTTTTTCATAGATTGATTCATGGAGTATTGTCCTGTGGCGTGACAGAGACGCAGTACACACGTTTCTTTCAAGCAGCCAACATTGGGTCAGAGGGAGGAAAAACCTTTGACAGAGGTTAGCTATGCACTTTCTCTAATACTCCTAAAATCATGTTGTATATCTTCTTGCAAGCAAATGGCAAATGGCAAATTGGTATCCGGTATTGTGATAAAAAACTAGCAATAGGTAGGTATGGGGATGCGACTAAAAGCTGGAGGATGGTTACTGCTGTTACGAATTTCTTGTCTACAGTTAATGTTCTTTCTAACCCTATTAACAAATGAGTGAGATATATAAGTCTCAGATCATTCATTTCATCTAAACGGCACAGACGAATTTTTAAAAGCGTTTGAAGCTGGGCATGAGTTATGTATGGTTTTCAGCGTTGGTCAAAAGTATTCAGTCACCCAATAAGTAATTATTGTATCAGCGCTTTGGGTTCCTTAAAAGGCATGTAATAGAAAGGAAATACTATTATTTTATCATATAAGGGAAAAAATACTGAATTGTGATTGGTCAAGACAGAGGGCATTTTTTCTTAATTTTTGTAATTGGCCCGGGAAAAATTACTTGAAAATGATTGGCTGAAGATCGCTTAGGAACGGCTGCCAAGGTAAAGAAATTTCTGTTTGTTTTGTAACAATGGCGTCCCGTTTTGCGCGAAATCAGTAAGAAAACATTTCCCCCTTCTATTAGAGACAAGTAATCACATGGTTCCTCGTAAAATTAAGGATTAATAACACTTGTGCTTTCGGAAGTTGCAGAAATTGCCCTCGTCGCTGCGCGACTCGGGCAATTTCAGCAACTTCCGAAAACACGCGTGATATTAGTCCTCAATTTTACTCGGCCCCATACGATTACCTATACTAATTCATGATAGGATAAGCTCCATACAATTCTACCTTGGCAGTTATGTCCATCTCCAGTGAATCCAGTATAGCAAGAGCAGTTAAACGATCCTTCGTTATTGGTACAACTGGCGCTGTGCTTGTTACAGGTATGAGCATTGGTAAGACACTCATCAATGTCTGAAATGGAATCAAAAGACCATACTGATGCAAGAGGCTGCAGAGATGAGAAAGTGCTCCTATATATATGGCAGAGTTGTTGTTGTTGTTTTTTTTTGCATTCTTATGGACCGTGACGAAGTCGGGTCCATAAACATGGGAAAAAAAAAACAGGCTAACATCCAGCCATCTTAACCGAACAAGCTTGGTTAATAAAGGATTTATTGATTCCAAAAAGATTTCGCTTTATTGATAAGAATTAACAGTGACGTTTTTAACTTCGAGAGCCGGAAAAGAAAGCCAAATGTGTTTGTAGCACAACAAACCTAGGAGAGTCGCTTTTGTTTTCTTGGTTTTTACTATCTTCTGCCGATTTTTGCATTTCCATTGCTGACATTGTCCAAGAATTACGAAAGCAGTTCTGATTCAAGTTTTCTCTTGCGCGGCCGCAATGCAGGCAGTCCCGAGCGGGCAAGATGGGCCCATTTTGCCCGCTCGGGTAGCCAATCAGAAAACAGGATTCGCTTCCTCTTGCCCACGGGCGCTGCAAGCGATGTTGTAAAAGAGCATCATATTCCAAATAATATCAGGTTGCCATTTACGGTAGATTTGTCACGACCATTTCTACAGGTTTTTCGCGCTGATATGACAAAGCATCAAGTTCTGAATATTATTTAATACCTGAACAGTTGTGTCCGTCACCACTGAATCCTTTTTTTACAAATGCACTTAAATGATCCCTTTGTATTGTTAGTAGCAGTTATATTGCTGCAGTTGTGCTAAGAGGGAAGGAGAGTTTAAGGTGGCTGAACACAGTTTTCGCGCGCGCATTTGCTGATGGAATTCAGCGCGCCCACAAGGATTGCAAAAAAAAAAAACATGCCGTCAATAGAGCAGTCGTTTTATTAACTCAACACGTATCCGCACTATCTGTGCTATTTTTCTATTTAGTTGGCGCAGTGTATTGAGGGCTTTAATCTTTTATTACAAAGACATGTTAGAAAATTTAATGGTGCAAAGAACCCTCAGCTTTTTCGTCATTAGCGAAGGAATCCAGTTAAATGGAGCGCGCGCGTAGTAAGTAAAAAAGTAGCGATTGAATGGAAAATTGCTTTCTCGGAAATATGTCTATTTGTTAAGAAACACTCGCTAGAACTTCACGAAATTTATCACGAAAATACTTTAGGAAATAAGTAATTGGAGTATCGAAAAAATAGACTTTTAACGAAGGAAATTCTAGATAATTGAGTGAACCTTCAACAAAAGATAATTAAAGATCTCTGTTAAATTGTTAGCAAAATGGTGTGAACTTGTGAGCATCATTGGGAGCTCGTTGCAAGCAAATTATAAAGAGAAACTAATGACTAGATTTTCTACAAATGAACAAAACCGATTTTTAGGCTTGTTTATATTTATTAATGTCGCCATGAAAACGGCACATACGTCAGCTTAACATGGAAAAAAAAAGTTTGTGTTGTTAACTTGCCTGCTGCCAGTTTTGGCGACCAAGAGATCAAGAGATTTAGAGAAAATGGTGAAAGAAACACAGTTATCAAAAACTATGTTCAGCCACCTTAAGCATTTTATGCTTTGAAAATTTTGCAAACTTAAATGGTAAAAGTGAACATTGATAATCATTTTGAACGCGACTTCGAATGATAGACATCGCGATTAAAGCTTTTAAGTGTCAAAATATACATTGTAATTCTCAGATGCAGATCAGTACGTTTTTTACGGAAAATCTCGCGTTCTGAATAATATGAAATACCTGAGCAGTTGTAACCATCCCCTCTGAAACCAGTATTACAAGAGCAATTAAACGACCCCTTGCTATTAGTACAAGTGGCGTTGTTCTTGCTACAATTGTGGATATTTTCGGCACACTCGTCGATGTCTAAAATGAAACCAACAACTAGTATCCAATATTGTGATAAAATATAACAATGGGAAACTGAGAGGAGAGAGGATATCACTATAAAAGCTGAGGGAAAACTGCTGCTTTTCAATATTTTATAGTTGCAGCTCAAGCTCATCTTAGTTCCACAAACAGACAAGTCAGAGAGGTGAGTCCCAATCATTAATTTTATCCCAAAAGTACACGAGGATTGAATAAAACCTTTTAAAGCTGTGCATGGAGTTTCAGAGTTTTTATGGTTTTCTGCCTTGATTAAAATCATTCAGTCATCCATTCCGAATCATATCATGCTACCATTTATAGTGCTTTAATCCGGCCAGCTCTAAAGGTTTTTCCGCGCTGATTCGAACAGCATCATGTTCTGAATACTGTTCAGTACCTGTGCAGCTGTACCCGTCACCACTGAGTCCTGGTTTACAAATACACTTGAAAGATCCTTTGGTATTATTACAAGTGGCAGTTATATTGCTGCAGTTGTGGCTGTTTTGAGAACACTCGTCAACGTCTGAAATTAAATCAGCAGTCCTTGTCAATTAGAGTGCTAAAGAGTTACAAAGAGGAGGGTATCTGCATTGGGGCTTCCGCTGGAAAAAAAGGAAAAGCAAACAAACAAACACAAGGTGATGTAAGGAAAAAAAACTTTTAACTTCACTTCCAGTGTGAGAGGTGTGGTGGCCTCATGGTAGGTGCGCTCGACTCTGACTCTCATCGTGCCTTTCTTCACCCAGGTGTTTAAAAGGCTAGATGCGAAGGCTGGGGGGTAACCCTGCGGGGTAGCCCTGCATCCTATCCATGGGTTAGTAGTAGTACTCATGGTCGCTTCATACTACGGAAATCGGAGTTAAGTGGATGTTTGATGGGGCATTTGGCTCGTAAACACACTTTACCTTACAAATGGGGGGGTGGCTCAAACTTATTTTTACCCCAAAGAAGAAGACGTAAAATGTACTTATCTTAAATCACGTCATGTCATGCTCTGCTGGATTATACCTTGGCATTTATGTCCATCTCCGCCGTATCCAGCATTACAAGAGCAGCTGTAGGATCCCTCGGTGTTTGTACAGTTTGCGTTCTTGCTGCAGTTGTGGGTTTTTTTAACACACTCGTCGATGTCTGAAATAAAATCGACGGACCATAACCATGATTGTTATCTTCAAAAAGAAGGAAGTGAGTGGGGGAGGGGTATTGCTAATTTGCAAAGGAAAACTGACTCTGCCTCATGTTAATCCAGATCTGCAAGAAGAAAGGCTTAATATCTGAAATCTGATACTCGAAGTACTTTAGAATTAGGATTTTAAAACGCGAATTCCTACCACAGGTTAGCTAGGATCAGGCATCATGCTCTGAACAATGGTCATTACCTGTGCAATTGTCTATATCCCCGCTGAATCCAGGATTACAAGAGCAGTTGTAAGATCCCTCGGTATTTGTACAGTGGGAGTTCTTGCTGCAGTTGTTGGTATTTGTAACACACTCGTCGATGTCTGAAATAAAGTCAATGGATCGTACCCATGAT